GGCGCCGACTCCGCCCCCGGGCCGCCCATCCGGCCTCCTCGCCTCCGGTGCCGGGAATCCGATCCGCTGCCTCGGCCCTGTGCCCGCCCGGCCCGGGCACCCGAGTCCAGACCCTAGGACAGAGGGCCGGCGGCTGCCCCCGGGGCCGAGCGCCCGGCCACGCACCCCGCGGTAACGGGACGGCGCTCCGGCCCGGGGCGCAGAGGCGGCCCCTTTCCCACGGCTCCCCGCCCGGGCCGTTCCGGCCGCTTTTGCTTAGAATACCCGGGGCCGGCGCCCGCCCCGCGAGCCGGCCCGTTGCTTCCTCACCTGCCCCGCGGCGAGCCTTCCCCTCCCCTCCACCGCCGGGCCCCAGCGTCGGGAAAATGGCGCTACGGCCCCCCGGGGGCCTGGTGCTGGCCTTGCTCGGGGGCCTGAGCCTCTTCCTCAGTCTCCCGGGCCCCGTGTGGCTCCAGCCCTCGCCGCTGCCGCCCGCCGCGCCCCCGGCCGAGCCCCACCCGTGTCATAGATGCCGAGGCCTGGTGGACAGCTTCAACAAGGTGGGCGCTCCGGCGGGCCGTGCGGGGGCAGCAGGTGTCCCGGAGCGGCGAGTGGGGCGCTCCGGGGGGAAGTCTGCGGATTGTTAAGGCGCTGGGCGCTGGCTGTGTGCCTCCCTCCACAGGCGGTGATGCCGAAGCGGGAATGTGCAGGCCCCTTCGCGGTTAACTCTTCTCTGCCTCCAGGGCCTGGAGAGAACCATCCGGGACAACTTTGGAGGTGGAAACACTGCGTGGGAGGAAGAGAAGTTGTCCAAATACAAAGACAGGTAAGGGCTGGGGCACCTTGCCCCCTCCCAACCGCTGCTGTAGGGGTGGACACTTGGGGGTCACGTACTCATTCGGCCAGTGTGGGGCAGAGGCCCGTGGCAATGCGTCGGCGGGGTGGTCCAGGCTTAATGTTGGAACGGAGAGCTGGCGTGCAGCAAGCCCTGACACCGCTGGGAGAGGGGTTTGGCCGGAGAGTCGGCCCCCTCAGTGTGACCGAGAGCTGGGGTGAGGGGCGCCGACAGAAGAGAGTGGGGGTGGGGGGAAAGAGGACCAGGCTTTGAAGGTCACTCAGGAGCTTGGGTCTCCTCCGGATTTGAGCAGAGAAGTGATGTGGGCTTCCCTCTGCGTCTCTGCCTTTCAGGGAGCTGTCACTCTCCTGGGCAGCAGCCGTAGGTGGCCAGGAGGGGGAGAGCAGGGGAGCAGTGGGGAGGCTGGCGGGAGACTGCCAGAAGACAGCCCCCCGGCTAGCGGGGCCAAGGGGCCAGGGCAGGTTGTCCTTTGCAGATAAACTATAGGGCTTGGAGCCACATGGGCTGGGGGAGAGAACCTGGAAAACACGCTCACCAGGCTAGGGACCTGAGCTTGGGAGGCGCCCGCCTCGGGGTGTGTGCCCGTGCTGGTCTTAGACAGAGATTAAGGGGAGGGTGCAGAGGGAGAGGCCTGAGCCCTCCTCTGGCTTGTCAAAGTCAGCTCAAGGACAGGCAACAGCAGACGCGGGGCAGACAGCGCTGGTTGGCAGCCCCGTCCCCGGGTGCCCCGGGAAGGCCACAGGCCCTCTCTGAACCTCAGTTCTCTCCCTGTTAAAATGGGGTGTTAGTACCTGCTCTGCGTCCATTCAGCAGGGATGAAACCGATGCCCCTAGAAACAAAGGGCCTCGCGAATGTGGTCCTCTTCCCTGCCCTCAGTGGGCCCCGGCCTCCTCCTCGGGCTCCTTACTGGGGAGCGAGGGCGCCTCCAGCTTGATGATGGCGCTCTTGTTTGGGCAGGCGCGGTGCCGGACTCCTCCAAGCCCAGAGTGGTAGAGCGGCCACTCTAACTTTTCTTGTTAGTCGGCGGCGGAGTACACATGGCACCAGATTCCCCACCAGGACAGTGTGCCCACGGTGTGAGCAGCCACCGCTGCCATCACCCCAGAGAGAAAGGCCGCACCCGTTAGGCAGTCCGTCCTCACTCCCGCTTCCCTGGCCGCGGCTGCCTTCTGGTTTTGTGGGTTTGCTGCCTGCACTAGAATCCTGCAGCTCGGCCAGTCACATGGCTTTTTTCACTTCGTCGAGGTTTTCAGGACCCGTCCACAGTGTAGCCTGCGTCGGTACCTTGTTCCTTTTTATGGCTGAGCAGTGCTCCCCGCAGACGAGGACTGTTTACGGCTGAGCAGTGCTCCCGGGTGAGGCCCGTGTAGGGCTGAGCGGTGCTCCCGGGTGAGGCCCGTGTAGGGCTGAGCGGTGCTCCCGGGTGAGGCCCGTGTA